AAAAACAACAAATATTAAAAGATTGGCATCAAAAGATACATAGATTGATAGATATACAGTTATTAATAACATCTAAAAAAATAAAGATTAAACTTAAAAAAAAAAAAAAAATCCTGATTCCCTCAAACTTTGCGTGACCCCCCTGGCGCCCATTGGCAGCCCGGGGGGGTCGGGGCCCCCACTTTAAAAAAACACTGCTCTAGCCTATACTGTCTTAAATGTGCTTACAATAAGTAAGTTGTAATAATTATAGTGTTTTGATTTAATCATAATGCAAAATCTTTGATTTATTTTTGTTTTGTTTTCAGTTATGGTGGGGCAACATCTAAAACAAAGGTCCGTTTTATTGTTTCACGGCCATAAATACAAAGAGACTTCAATCTAAAGTATCATTTATAATATAAAGAGGATTTGTCAGTGATTGCAGGGCTCAGAGAAATATATGTTTGTGCACTTTTGAACTTAATTAATTATGCTCAATTAACTGCTCAATGTAAATATTTCCTTGTAATTGTCATTAATGCTTTGTAATAAACGTCTCAGACATCTGGTTGGAACATCTCATCACTTTTACTTCTAATCATCAGCATGTCATGTCTCATAAACTGTTGAANGATATGTATGCAGTTATTAAGGCGAGACACCCCAGGTGAATAGGGTAACTTTTTTAACTTAAAGGTATCAGCTAGAAATTTCTCCAGTTAATTACTTACTGTAAGTAATTAACTGGAGAAATTTCTAGCTGATACCTTTAAGTTAAAAAAGTTACCCTATTCACCTGGGGTGTCTCGCCTTAATAACTGCATACATATCAATCTGTGTGTCCTTTGATGCCAATCTTTTCATATTTTTTGTTTTTGAATCACACGACCGCCCTTCAAGCCAATCAGAATCGAGCTGCCGCTACTTTGAGTGAAAATCTGCTCAGCTTTTGGAGCAAGTGAGAGCTACAGTAGTGAATGTTTCGCTCTGCAGCTGGATGAGAGCACGGATGTAGCAAATGTCGCAGAATTGCTTAAATACATCAGATTTATTTCAGAAGACAGCTTTGTTGAGGAAATATTATTTTGCAAAGCACTGGAAGGTAGGACCACATGAAGAGACATTTTCCAAGTTTTAGATGAGTACATCATCTCAAATGGACTTGACTGGTCTCGTTGTGTGGGTGTGTGTTCAGATGGGGCAGTGGGGTTATGACAGGCAAAGAAAGCCCCAAATGTAGTGGCAACACACTGCATGCTCCATCGCGAGGCACTTGTACACATCATTTAAAAAAAAATTGCAACAGGGGGGTCCCCGCCAGAGGATAATGCTATATGGGGGTCCTTGGCATGGCAAAGTTTGGGAACCCCTGGGCTAGAGTATCCCAATAATTTCCAACATGATCTTGTGTTGGGTTGTAAATGCAATCTCGAAAGCAACAGCAGGAGTTTTATGGTTTATACTTTATTGATTTAAGAGTTTGTTTATCAGGCATTTTATTGCTTGTCAGTGTCTTCCACCTCTGGAGCAATATAACCTCCGCACTGAACACAGACAAACACTGCATCCCACTGGATCTGACTGAATCTGAGTGGAGGTTTAACTAACTGCATTTAACTAAACACTCTTAACCTGAACTAATGAATCAAGTCCTTAATCAAACTGTTCAAGTGCTGCTGAGGCCCTGCAGGCTTTTATTCCTCTTAAGAATGAATGGGCCACGTGTAATCTACACCTGCAGGCAGTCTACCTGACACCAGGTAGCTCAGAAAGGGATGATCGCACCATTTCCTAAAAGGAGCAGGACGCTCTAAACTCTGTTCAGGTAAAAGACAATCACCATGGTAACAACAGAGCGCTCTCATCAGTCTAACCTGATACTGTCAGCTGTACTTTCAGTTAAATGCTTATGTTACCTTGCCAACATCTTAATAAGTGTTAGTTGTTCTATGCGCCACATAGCCACTTGTAGGGATGAATACAGTTGTATTGAATTACATATTTGAATGAAAGGCTAAAATGTTGTTAGCATTAGCTACTAAGTCAGAGGAAAAAAATCATCATGATTCGAGCTAAATGCTAACATTAGCTCAAGTGAGCATTTTTACATTTATGCTAAGAAACATATTCACAATATTGGCACAATATCATTTTATGCTAATGTTAGCATTTTATCACAGGTTTATCATAAACCTGTAGATTGAGTAGCCAAGGCCTTAACATTGAATGCAAATTATTGTTTTTATTTTTATTTAACAGTTTCTTCTCCATAAACAGCATCAGTTTAAAATTGTTCAACTCAAAGTTGTTGACCAAATGTGCACCGTCTGTTAATATCAATGCTTTTGCATCTTTGTGTTGACTTTAATGCATTTTCAGTCAAAAAACTTCAGTTTATGATCCGTCTGAACTTTAGATCTAAAGCTGTATCATCATCTTCATCATTTTCAGATTAAGTTGAAGTGTTTACTTTAATGACTTTTGTTTCTGTTGC